CAAAAACTTTTCCTCATAGAAATCAGTCATTTTGATAACTTCCCGTAAGGGAATTAAAATGATTCAACTGCTCGAATGCAGAGAAGAATTTACACATAGTACTTTTTAAGATTAGCTACATTCCACGATCTAGCCAGTGACCTGCCTTCAGCGTCCTTCAGGGAGTATGCTCCTCCTGCATGTACCTTTTCGACCAAGTACGGTCCTTCCCAGTTGGGTTCTAACTTTCCCACATGCTTGAGCACATCTACTCTCTTCCATACCAGGTCTCCTACTTGGAATCGGCGGATCTTCACTTTTCGATCATGTGCTGCCCTCATCCGTTGCTTGTATGCCTCAACTATGGTCGAAGCTTGCTCTCTGAGTTCTTCGATAGTGTCTAGAGCGGTCATCATGAGTTCCTCATTCTGCTTTTGATCATAAGTGCTCGATCGTTGGGACTGCAGCTCTAATTCAACTGGTAGAAGTGCCTCCATCCCATATACCAGGCTAAAGGGCGTTTCGCCAGTGGTCGATCTAGGAGTGGTCCTATACGCCCAGAGCACAGATGTTAGCTCGTCAACCCAGGCTCCTGAAGCCTTTTCCAGTCTCGTTTTTAGTCCATTCAGAATGATCCTGTTGGTCACCTCTACCTGTCCGTTGGCCTGGGGATGGGCGACAGAGGCGAAGTGTTGCTCGATACCCATTTTCTCGCACCATGCTCTTACTCGTTTTCCATTGAATTGAGTTCCATTGTCCGATATCAGGACTTTAGGGACTCCGAATCGGCAGCAGATATTATTGTACAAGAACTGGATCACTTTCTCTTCCGTAATTTTGGCCAACGGTTCAGCTTCCACCCATTTAGTAAAGTAGTCGACCGCCACAATCAAGAATTTCCGCTGCCCTGTTGCCTGTGGCATTGGCCCCACTAGATCAATGCCCCACTGTGCGAACGGGATGGGTGCACTCATTGTAGTCATCATCTCCGCTGGTTGGTGTATGAGCGGACCATGCTTCTGGCACTGCATGCATCTCCTGGCCATTTCTTTAGCATCCGCCTTCATCGTCGGCCAGAAGTAGCCTGCTCTTAAAATTTTCGCCACCATGGCCCCGGCTTTGCTATGATCACCACAGCATCCCTCGTGCACTTCTCGCAAAACATAGCGACCCTCCTCCTTGGATACACATCTTAAATGTGG